GTGCAAATATAAAAATGGTTAGGTAAGACCACATCAATAAGTCAATGAGTAAAGTTATTGATTTACCTCATGTCCAGCTGCCGCACGCCTTCGACTATCAGCCTTTGCATTCCACCTTACTCCCCATCCATGAATGATGCTCTTGAGACCTTGGGCTTTGGCGCGCGAGTTGAACCATTGCCGGCGCGAGGAGCTTGAACAGATCAAAGATATGATCTTATCGCACTATAGTAAGAGAATATCAAAAGTGAGCTGCTATACGCACAAAGATTGAAGAAAAGGAAATCACAAATCAACCTTCAATAAGGCCCGTTTGACCAGCTCGGTCGTATCAGTTAGTTCACCACTTTCACACTCTTCGTCTTCACCGTCAGGATTGATAGATGTGGGTTCTAAACCCGCATCATCTTCATCAGATGATGACTGAACTGCTATGTCGTCCTGACCGGAATTGAGAACCAAGGTTGGTATTGGAACAGTTGCCCCCGGTTGAGTTGTTGGTTTAGTATGGCCTGCTGATATGTTCATCGTCTTGAGACCGTACTTGACAACGAGGGCGAGTTTATGACAATAACATCGGACGTGGTTTGCTTCAGAGTTCCAGTAGACTGATTCATCCGCGTTCCAGAACATCTTCTCAAGTTCATCGGCCATAGTTTTGTTATTGGCACCTGAGTCTGTAGTTTGAGCTAATATCTGGTGATTGTAATAGTATAAGTCAGATTTAAATAAATATATAGATGAAACAATTAGATAAGAAACAACTGGAAACTACCTTTTTGTGAAGTCCATGTTTGATTAGGAACTTCCCAACTGGTCTAGCGAGCAAGACACCACAGTGGTGCCATGTTACTAGCTTCAAAGTAAGATGACTGGTTTGATACTTCCAGTTTGAATCGATCCATGTTGCAGTTACACCAATGAAAGCGAGACGATTGCCCTTGGTCGTCCATCCATCGTGGACAAGGCATATCTTGCTCTTGCTATCCTGTAGGTTTCAATGTTCAAACTGGATTAGGCTTGCATACAAGTCCAAAATAAACCATTTGGAAACACAAACCTTGATTTTGCTTAATAGCTGGTCATACATTGAAAAATATAACTCGTTTGCAGTGGTAGCTGCCCAAGTCGGGCTCCTGAGATCGGCCTTATCGTGGGTGAGGTGGAATGCGGCCCAGAGGGTAGGATCTTGGAATCAAACCCAAGGTAGTGCATGTCGTAAAAGCCAAATGACCAAGAGGACATTCAGAATGTCGACGCTGAAAGGAGGTCGGGAGATGAAAGAGTTCATTAAAGCCGCTGATGAACTGGTGGCTGACGGTTTGGTTGAGGTAGAAGCTTCGCGTGCGGCCTTGCGTTCTTGATACGTCATTGGAAGTCCATGATTTGGATCTTTCATCACATTTGCACGGCCTTCACAAGGTTGCCGATTTTTACCGCCGTCTTGATGACAGTAAAGATTGCTGTTTCCATTGATTCCTCGCGTGAACGTTTCAGGACAGTATTTGCATTTGTAGCCACGTAGCACACCAATTGGCTGGGAAAAAAAATTGAGAAATAAATATATGAAATAGATGAGAAATAAAAACATGAGGAAGAAGTCAGTTACATAGCTTTGATCAGTATTATAGAAATGCACAAACATCATCCTTGACCCACACGGGGTCCGGTTTGAAATACGACAAAAGGTGAGTGACAGCTTTGCTTTGCGTTCTTTTAAACGGCTTCTCTTGAGGCGCTTCGGGGCTTGCTTGATCCACATCGACACCTTTGGGGACAGTGAGGTCCTGAGATGATTGAATAATGAAGGCGACATCAATATACATCGATATTGGAAGTTGAAATGATGATAACATAATACATCTACTTACAGTCACTTTGGACCGAGTCGTGACTTTCTTTGTCTTCTTCTTTTGAGTTTTTTTCGCTGGTGCAGACTGCACATCTTTTTTTCAAGCCCTTTTGGGTAGTTGAGATGGCTCATCGTCGTTGGCTGCTGCGCGCTTCTTTGACTGGGTTGGGGTATGAGGGTCTCCAGACGGTTCTTCAGAAGTCTCTTCTTGGTCTTCTGAATCTTCATCATTGCCTTCTGTTTTGTTGCCTTCCGTTTCTTCTTTGCCTTCATCATCGCCAGGTTGATACAATGATAGACGCGAGTCCGCGGAAGTTGATACATAATTGGGATCTTTACGAGCGGGGCTTGGTCGAGTAGAGCGTCGAGGGGTACGTGGTTGAGATTGTGAAGAATTTGTTGAAGGTACAGCGAGTTGAGAGGCAGGAGCAGATATGAAAGAGGCCATAGACTGCGCCTCTTGTGACGTTCCGTGTTTTCTACGCATATAGAACAAATGGAAAAAGAAACGAGGGGTAATTGGGATGATAAAATAGAAAAGGAATAGAAAGTCGATGAATGACGGAGGATTATCGGGGTAATAAAAGAGAAAACGTAAACATAAAATGTAAGAAGTAGAGTGGAGGAAGGGGAGGGAATGCAAAACTTACATCACTTCCTTTCCTATCCCTTGCTTGGACGTGTCGTAGAGCCAAAATAGGCCATCTCGATTGGGCCTGCATCGCCAATTTGGGTGATATGAGCTATGACAAGGGTGGAAATAGAAACACATTTCTGAATCGAGAAAGAATGTGGTAATTTTTGAAAAATTTACCGTAGTGATCGTAGGCCACTACAGACTACGGTTCGTATATGTAGAAATTGCTGAGCAGCGGTACGGTACCTCCCCAATATTACTGGGGGTTTTCCACACTACGGTGCGGCCGGACCGCAGCCAGTCGGACCGCAGCCTACGGTGTCCAGACCGTACCGCACCGCACCGTTGGCCGTATTTCCCTGCGGTCCGGTTTGTGTGTTGTCCCGATTCAGCTTTCCTATTCGACGCCAAGAAAATCATTTTACGTTCTTCACTTCAGTTTTCAACTTGCAAGAAATTTATTCAATATCATCTTCCTTATTCGAAATGTGACTCTTCTTTTGTCGGCGCGCCTATCATTATTCAATCGTTTGAGAATACTTCAGGATGTCCTGTATCTTTACTCAAATCTTATTTACGCTCAAGAGACAAGTTATTTATGGCTGCGACCGAACTTTTCATTACTTCTTCCGGCTCTCTTCCTTCTAGAAAATGGTTCTTAGCAAGATTCCACACATATTTCGATAAATCTTTTTCCGGTCATTCTTTACGGTCAGGTGGAGCAACTGCGTTGGCTCAGGCTGGGGCTTCGATGGATTATATCAAGAGTGCCGGCAGATGGTCTTCGGAGGCGTTCCTAATTTACGTTCGAGGGCATGTTGCCTTAAGATTACCTGAAAATCAAAATCACGTAATTGGGCGTACGTCTCATATAGGTGCAAATGTTACATTCATTTAAAAGGTAAGTCTTAAGAAATATTATTTCTTAAAGAGATTGAGAGTAATTATTGCTCAAACTAGCTATTATGCTGGGGATTTATGAGCTATTATTGCTGTCATTTGTTTATTATAAACTTTTGAGTGTTTGGGCAGATTATTCCACATTACTAACAATTGATTTCTTTCTCTCCTACTTCACCACTCTTCTGAATACCTGTATAGGCGGGTCGGAGAGGGTGTTGTTATTATTATGAAGCAATTATTTCCCTAGGTATATTATGCCTAGGGTTTTTGGCCCAAACACGTTGCTTTTTATTTAAAAGCATTTTCTCTTAAGTTCACTACTGAGTTTCCTTATCCACGTTTCTTGTGGTTGGTAACTTGTTATTAACAAAAGGGAACGTCGGATAATTCGGACTTTTTACTGTAACGGTACTGATTCTCGGTTACTTTACAGTTTATTTGGGGTCAACAGCGATGATGTCATGGTTACTTGCCAGCTGTTTACCACTAGTCCGAATTTCCCATTGAGTTCACTATCGTCGAAAAAGATTTCTTTTTCATTATCATTCACAATTATCGCTTTCTTTTTAGCGTCCCTCCCACCTCTTATCCCTTGTTATGAAGCGTCTTAAAGTCATTATTATATTTAGTTCCAGTCTGGTATATTAGTATTCTTTTAATTATCTCCTTTAAAAAAAAGCACACAGGAGAAAAGTTATATATATTAAAAATTATTGTCCGGTGTCATCCTTTTCTATTCAACCCAAGTATTAGTTGGTTTATTTTCAAATTATTTTATTCAGTAGTTCATTCTTTGTTACGATTTTTTCAAATTTTGTCCGCTACCACCCCAGGGTGTTGTTATTATTATGAAGCAATTATTTCCCTAGGTATATTATGCCTAGGGTTTTTGGCCCAAACACGTTGCTTTTTATTTAAAAGCATTTTCTCTTAAGTTCACTAGTGAGTTTCCTTATCCACGTTTCCATCACATCATTGATGCACCAATGATTATTCCCCATCCACAAGAGTTCTATCCACCTCACAAAATAACTTCCAAAGTATTCATGCATGTCATCTTACTAGGGTGCAATGTGCACAGGGTTTTTTAGGGAAACAAAAGCCTCCAATCAACTTTTTGGGCACATATTCTCATGTCTCGTCACCTGTTTGCTCATGTGCGTGGTCAGGTGTGTGTGGTACAGTTGTGATGCTGAGCATTTGGAACTTATGCAGATCATACAAGACTTTTGCAATCTGCATCCTTCAACCAATAACACTTTCATTTTAACAAAAACACATCTATGAATCTGAATTGTTGTTGAAGATAAAACTCAAAAGGCCAAACTTCTCTCAAGGGTTTGACCGGAATAAATGGTCTCTAAACAAGGAGGTATGATCAGGTCCCCAATAGGCAGCATACAATAGATGACATCCTCAATATTTCTGATTTGTCACGACTTTGCGAGATAGACTTCCGCCGTTATCACAGGACCTTGTGAAAAGTCACAAGTGTGATCCGTACCGACTCCTCGGGCCAGCAGTTCTTTGGTCTGACAAAGGGGGCGTGACCGGGTCTTTTTGACTTCCATTGAGTCAAGAAGACGCGGGTTATGTCATCCTGAGACTTCCCTTCGCTTTACTGATTCCAAACACCAGCCCTCATCTCCTCCAGTCTCGACTCAGCTTAATCGGTGCTTCAGGCAGAAGAAACACTTCATCGTGGGGTATGGATCTAAATGTTGACGAAGTAATCTCGCGCATTTCACAATATACAGGTCGCACAACTTGATTTATCCATCCTTCGCACGGACAAGATGAGTTGACACTTCAATGAGTTACTCTCCATACTCGCATCTTCGATCCGATCGAATCACATTATCGGACACAGGTCGAAGGGAAATCAGTCGATGGAGAGCATTGGCGGAGGCGTGTCCATCACTAGCTCTTTTGGCCTACGAACGAGCGCTTCAAGAGATTGTTCGTTCGACATGGGACATCCCACAATACAAGGTCGTCTTGAATGCTTACAATAAGCATGCCACGGCTAACAATGCACCTCTTCTCTCGTCGGATGAAACATGGCTGCAAGAAACTCAAGCTGAGATAAGCAGGACGTTCAACAAACTGGAGATGGAACTTAAAAACTACACATCCAGCTTGATCAAGGAAAGCATCAGGGTAAGTCGCCTGTCCACCACATAGCACCAATACTTGATTACAAACTTATCCTCCTATCTGCGCAGATCAGCCATCAAGATCTAGCTGCACATCACCGAAAGACAGGTGACACGAACAATGCCCTGCGATCGCTTACCAAGGCCAGGGAATACTGCACGTCCTCGACACAGGTGGCAGAATTGTCTTTTGCCATCCTTGATCTCGCCATGGATTCACACAACCACAAATTGGCGGAAAGTTACATCAACAAAGCTGAGGGTGCTCTTGATGCGGCGGCAAGTAAAGATAACAAGCAGGATGCTGCAGCTAGGGCCAAAATCCCTGGCACCCCCGGTATTTCAACATCAGAGTCGTGAGTTGATTTGAAAATCCTATCTTACCGATATCCGCGCGCTGAGTAGTCAACTACTCCCTAGTAAGGAGAAGGATCGCGCGAGATCTGTCGAGCGCCTGAATGTCGCTAAAGGTTTGTCATATCTAGGACAAGGTTGCTACGCCAAGGCAGCTTCAGTTTTCCTCAAAGTTAGCCGCGAGGCTGGACAATACCCTGACATGGATGCGGTAAGTTTCTCTCGAGCTTCTCTAAGGTTGTGTAGGAGATTCAAATCTAAAAGGTCGGAATCTACATTCCATAGTTGATCACGCCAGTAGATTTAGCTATCTATACGGGTTTATGCGCTTTGGCCACATTCACTCGCCAAGAATTGAAGGAGCGAGTGATTGAAAATACCGAGTTGCGCGCCCTTCTCGAAAACGAACCCCGATTGAAACGTGTTCTCGTCCTGTTTTGGGAAAACAAACACAAAGAAGTGCTAAAATTTTTGGATGATTGGCATGTGCGTTCTTTTTTTGATGTCTACATGTCTTTTGGCCTGCGAACTCCTCGTTCTGATTAGATTCAAACCTCCAGCCGACTTATCGAGTGGATATCTATTTATCCAATCACATTCATACCATCATCAAATTAATTCAAGATCGTGCAATTCTTCAATACTTCTCCCCTTTCTCGTCGGTATCTATTTTCAAAGCCGCAGAGGCATTCGGATGTTCTCCCGATAAACTTTTGGAACGGGTCACCGAATCTATCAGTCAAAAAACCCTTCACGCAAAAATTGACTTGCCGAATGGTCTTATACTTGCCCATGAGGACGAACTTCGAGCAGATTTGTTCCGGAACGCGATCGAATCAGCTGAGCAACTCGAGTATGAGAGTAAAGCAGCCTTGTTGAGATTGATGTTGATACAAGCTGATGTGGTGGTGAAAGATTTACACAATCCAGACTCCATACGTGGCGGCAAGTCAATGATGACCTCAGGAATGAAATGATAATTTTCATTGATTGTAAGACTTGTATCTCATCCTGAGATCTCACCTATTTACCATTATCAAATTTTATTGTACAATCAATTGCTCAGGCTTGATCTCATACATGTAGACGCAACCAAAGTTTTATGGCCATCTAGAATTACTCGTGACTTACTCTTGCTGTAATCTATGTACTACATAGGTCACATTGCAATTTTCACGGCTGTGTGCAACAGAAGCCATTGATCTGTGATGTAGGTTTCTAAATTTGTGAAAGGAAATCCAATAGGAAGACAGAAAGGTTTTCATGACGTGCAAGAGATCAAGAGACCTTCTTGGTTCCTGGTTTTCGCATAGATGAGTAGTACACAGTCAGTGGAAAACAATTTCAAGGTCTCATTTAACCTTTCAGATAGACGTTTCTGAGGCTTGCCGTGACTGATTTATCAGGCAAATGGACGGCATTTCTCAGAATTCAATTCGATACAATCATTACATACATGGTGTGAGACTTTGCTTCATGTAATATCAATCTTGCATCAGTCACTCTATTGAAACATACTCACGTGTTATATACATACAACAGCTGAAGAAATGCTTCTACTGAAATTATTTGCTCTCGATTGACTTTTTTCTTCAGAGTCGATTTATTTTGCCGAGTGACGCAGCCACTCAGTCTCAGCCTGCAAACCAACCAATAATCCTTCTCGATATGGCCAGAACTGACGGTGGAAAAAAACCCTCTCAACTCTCTCAACTCAAACAATCCATTCGTACAGCAGGTTTATCACGAGTCTCAAAACCTCCAATTCCTGGTCGGTCCGGTGATAGAGGTGGCAAAAAAACCAGAAGCTCACTCAGCAGTGCGACTAAAGATCCGGAATTCAGACAGAAGAAACTAGCGGTGAGCACTCCGTGGTCTCATCGGTAATAGGAGGATTCCTCGTTTGATTGTGGCCTTTTTATCACCATTCACAGGAAATCCAAGCAAGCCAGAATCTGTTCGACTTGAAGTCATCAAAGGTCAAGTTTCCAACGAGTAACTTATCAAATCAACGTCAAAATGGATCTCTTCGAGGTGCTTCCAAAAACTCCCTCGTCAAGACGGTTGGAAAACCTGCTCAGTCCGCTACCCAAGCCCATCAACGCCGGGTTGAAAAACTGCTGCCTGAATATCGTAATCGTCATAAATCAACAAACTTTCTCGACAAACGATTTGGTGAAGGAGATTCGTCTCTAACCCCAGAAGAAAAGGCCTTGGAGAGATTCACAAAAGAACGTCAGATGAGACTTCCTGGAGGCGCTAAGAGAAATATTTTCAACCTAGACGACGACGCAGAAGGTCTGTACGATGAAGACGGAGAAGCTGATGGCGGCCTGACTCACAGAGGCATGGATTTGGATCTTGATGATGACGAGGTCGAAAATGGTCGCGATGATGATATTCTCCAGTTGAACAAACAGCCTTTGAATTTACATAACATTGATAATCGTGCCGAAGACAACGAAGATAGGCAGAAATCTAAAGCTGAAGTCATGTCGGAGATCATCACTAAGTCCAAAGCTCATAAATATGAGCGCCAACAGATGAGAGATCAAGACGAAGCTCTCAGGTATGATTTAGACGCAGAACTGAAAGGCATTCGATCCCTTTTACTCGGCTCGGCGCCCAAGCCTCCTACAAACACCATTTCTGACACTCGCGCAAACGCACAATCTGATAATTCGCATAAACTATCAAATACTGATCCTGGTCAACTCCCTCAACTTCAAGAGGCCAGTTCAGCGACATCGCACGAGCAGTGTGAGCTCTCTCACCCCCATAAAGCGACTGAATCAACAAACGCGACCGCTATCGACCAAGATCTATTAAGCAAACTCCTCGGGTCTTCAAAGCGAAGTCCCTCGCCTGAAGCAGATCACGGAGATAAAGACGAAGATATGTACGATCGGTTTGTGCGCGAGTTGGCTTTCGACCCGCGGGCCAAGCCATCCGACCGCTTGAAGACTGCTGAGGAAGTGGCTTTAGAAGAGGCTGAACGCTTGAGGATGTTAGAACAGAAGCGCCTGAAGCGTATGAGAGGTCTCGATGATGATGATGAGGAAGAGGAGGAAGGTGGAAAAAAGAATGGGAGATCGAAAAGAAAGCCCGAAGCTGACGATTTGGAGGATGACTTTGTCTCAGATCAAGGGGAGGAAAAAGAGTGGAGTCTTGGCGAAGGTCTTCGACCTGATGGGGCATTCGGTGCATCTGCTCAGGAGCAGGAAGGCTCTTCCGACGTGACATCTGACTCGGAATGTAACTCTTCCGATAACGACAACGACCAGGAAAGCGATGTCAGTGACTGGGAAGGTATCTCTGATAGTTCACACAAGGAGAAGGAAGGCGAAGACTGCGACTCCCTCCCTGTACGATCACTGGTTTCTAGCACAATTCAGGATCAGCCTTTGACGAAAGCCTCCGCCACCCGAGATCCTACTCAGGAGCTGGCTTATACCTATCCATGTCCCACTTCACATGCCGATTTTCTTTCTATCATATCACAACAATGCGTGAAAAGCGCTGAACTACCCACTGTGGTTCAGCGTATTCGAGTATTGTACCATCCCTCACTGGGAGAAGATAACAAATCCAAGCTTACCACCTTTACTAATGTCCTAATTGATCATGTAATTCATATCACATCTCTCCACAAATCCGATTCTTCAGCATCACCCTTTGGCTTAGTCAACAAATTATTACCCCACATCATAAGCTTATGTCAATCATTTACGCAATCCGCCGCTATGCATTTTGTTTCTAAACTCGGAATTATGCAGAAAAATCTTACTCAGGCGTTGATTGGACAGACGGGTACAGGATGGCCGGGACTCTGCGAGCTAACCTTACTCAGGCTGATCGGTCTTATTTGGTCGACTTCAGACTTCAGTCATCCCGTTGTGGCCCCAGCCGTCCTTATAATCTGTCAGTACTTGAATCAGCTCCAAGTCAAGAGATATAGAGACATGATGAGTGGCCTCTTCATGTGTACACTCATTCTCCAGGTTAGAACCTCATCTGCTGATTCCATTTCGAACTAACATGATGCCATGATACTGACAATGTCTTTGTATCTGCCCCCTTTGGCCCCCTACAGTATGAAGCACTGTCGAAGCGTTTGGTTCCAGAAGCCATCAACTTTCTTTTGTTGTCGGCTATGCGACTCACTTCTTCGAAGCTGGATCTTGCGTCTATTCCAATGCCTGTACCGGCTCCAGAAGGCACTGATACTACGATGTTCCCTCTGAGTGAGGAAGTCTCCGCGAGTCTACAACCTCAGACACTCGACTTTGTCTCACTCTTGACCAAAGAAGACCAGCCCGGCACGCCCTATCCATCCGAGCAAGATAAGGTGGACACATTAGATGTGATTTTATCTCTCTTGGCAAACTATGCCACACTATATAGCTCATCGCCTCACTACACCGAAGTGTTTTCAACCGTGCTGAGCCTGATCAAATCCATTGACTGTCACACTCTGATATGCGAGGTGACCAAGATGCGTTTGAAGGAACTGATAGAAACTATAGAAACTCAATTGGCGACAGCAAAGAGAATCAGACAGTTGAACCCGTTACGTTTACAACTCCATCGCCCTATCCCTATCAAACCACAGACCCCCCAATTTGAGTCGACCTTTACACCTAAACAAAAGGAATTCAACCCTGACTCGGCTCAAGTTGAAGTCAACAAGCTCAAGTCGTTGATTAAAAAGGAGAAGAAAGGAGCGATGCGAGAGCTAAGAAAGGACAACAAGTTCTTAGCTATCGAGAAGGCCAGAGAGAAAGATGAAGCTGATCTAGCCTATAAGACAAAGGTCAGTATAGTCATCCTTTTCTTATTTTCTTAGCGTCCCTATCTTCCACTGACCATCATCCTGTTTCATAGATCGCACGCATCACAGCAGGGTTACAGCAAGAGCGTTCAGAGGAAAAGAAGCAAGAACGGACAAAAGTACGACTGAAAAAGTTGGACAAACTCAGAGGCTCGAAGAAATGATGCAAGCTTCTAAGTGGTGCGGTATATCAAACCATGGGCGAAGTTTTATCTTGATTTTTTTTTCTTTTTCACCAGTGTAATTCTCACGTATCCCTTAGTACTTCCTATTGCGGTACTCATCCTCAAGCGTAGTTTGAATAGATTACCTTCATATGAATACGGTTATTCAAAGAGAAGAAGCAATGCAGAATGATCTCGTCCAGCAACATGAACATCTCTTCATCCACCCACATGATGAGCTGCATACAAATATGTTTTCTCGAACCAATATCCATCTTTGGTCCACTCCAGCTCAGACGAGTTAAGCAAGCCCTGCAGATCTCTATGTCACCAGAGCTGAAACTGCTTATGCACATCTGTAGAGCAATCAACGAAGATATATGGAGTTGAAGAATTCCTTTGACCATACAGCGTTCTTGCCTGTTCATTTGCAGGTCGTCAAAACCGCAAGTTGTCTTACTCCGCTTCAGTGTCACAGAATCGCCTGCAAGCTCGGGAAGTGAGTATACGGATGGCCCAACATATATCTTCATGTGTCGGGGCCCCTCTTTGAGAGTCAGCACAGCTTCGATGGCTCCCTCTCATATTCCTCTTAGATTTAAGATGATATGTGGCGAAAATTCAGGTAAAGAGTGCGAATTGAGGCTCAAGACAGATTTTATCTCCGGGGACCTCAAGAGAGGCCCGACAAACCAAACTATCAGCTTTTGCCTTGAAGAGAAAGGTGCCCGCTGTATTCGCCCTATGCATTAGAGGGTCACGGCGGTGGATGTATCTACCGAATCTATCCCTATCTAGCCTTCGTAGTTGGTGTCCCATTAACTGAGTGGAATAAGTCGAAAGGGACGTGAAGGACAATCGACAAACGAAAGACTCCGAGGATTTGCAGAACAAATGGACATGTTGGATTGGGGAGTTATCAGGAAGATGACAAGTAGACATGTTGCCCCAAAGCGAGAAGCCATCAAGGGAAGTTCAAACTACAACTTGGTTAGACACTCCTTTCCTCACGTGTATAGCGCTTCTGGTTCCATTTGTCATACTCTCCAGAAAATCTCTCTTCCTAGTATTCTATGCCAACTCGCCAGTTCTAAGCCTGAGTTAGATAGATTCATTATTCAAATCTAGTCATTCCAATTTCCTGATCTTTTGTCGATTGTTTCTGAACAAATTTTCATTTCCCACCCGCCCACTCCTAGAAAAAAAAAGAGTTTTACAAAAGTAGTATATTAATGGTATTCAAAACTCGAGAAACCGGTCCGAGAAGTGCCAAGAAGTGACATCTAGAAACTTCTCAGACACCTCGAAGATGTTTCTAGATGTCACTTCTTGACACTTCTCGGAATATTTGAAAGCTCCTCTAGACCTCGATTCCAAGAAGCCTTTGCCTCACAACTCAAGATCAAGATGCCGCGAGTCTCAGCCCGACAACAAGTCCTACAAGTGCTGAGAAAGGTATCACGCCACCTCCTTGCTCATCGCAAAGACGACACACTTCTTCTATCTTCAGCAAAGCATCCCTCAAGCACCTCGAGATCGCTATCAACTATGCTCCTCCTGCCTCAATTACTACCAGATCTTCCACTTACACCACAAACTCGCTTAACTTTGGGTTTCTTGCTCAAAACTAGAACGACACAACAAAAGCTTGAAGACTTTGATTCGAAGAAAAACGAAGTCAAAATCTGGTTGGCGGAACTGGAACGTGTCGAAAATCATCGATACCTGACTTCCAGAACCCTCCGCCAACGAGATCATTCCCACGAGCTCTTCAATGGGATTATGAACGCTTCAGAGAACATATTCATCAAATTGGTAAGGTCTCTCTTTTCTTTAGAGTTTTTCATTTGTTTCTAATGGCTGCTTTGCTGGTATGGTCAGGCGCGAATGAAAAAAGAAAGCTTCATTACCCTGTTTTATAAGATTCAAGATAGCCAAGTTTTCAGAAACTCTTCCAGCAATTCTCAAGCCAAAGTCGAAGTGCAACTCTTGATTGCACTAGCAAACATGGGTCTTTCCGGAAATGGCGGACAGGTTTCACTAATCGGCCGTTTATTAGGGGTTTCAGGTGGGTCATTGTTTATGATTATTGTATTTCTGTTTCGGTAACTGACTTTTGAACGTTTTCAGATGGGAGTGTAGAAAACTACACATGGCGATGTGTAGCGGCGATCCTGGAGTTGCAGCCTCATTATCTAAGCTGGCCATCCCCTGAGGAACGCGCAGTCATCAGGCACGAGATCTCTGAGGACCACCCGGCTGTGAAGGGATGCGTAGGATTTGTCGACGGAACACTCATACCCTTAGCTTTTGGTCCAGTCATCTGCAAAGAAGATTACTGGACCCGAAAGTATTTCTACGGTCTCAACTCGATGATCGTGTGTGATCATCGACGGCGGATCACTTTTGCTCGCCACGGGTGGTGTGGGAGTGTTCATGACCAGCGTGTGCTCCGAACTTCAACAGTAAGTTTTTTTTGGGTTCGCCAAAGACATTGAAGTGACTGATGATGTTGTTAGCTTTGGTGTCAACCTGCACGCTACTTCTCCGAGGGAGAGTATTTAGTGGCGGATTCTGGGTACAGTGCCTCCAGGTGCACTGTCCCCCTCTTCAAGAGGAACACGGACTGCAATCTTCCAGGCCTCAAAAATTCATTTAATAAAGAACTTAGTGAGGCACGCACGGTCATTGAGCATGTGAATGGAATGCTCAAATCGCGCTTTCAGATGATGAAAGAATTGCGATTGATTTTACGAGACGAAAGATCAATGAAGCGGGCAAACGCTCTTTTGATGGCGTGTTGCCTGCTTCACAATTTCCTTTTGGCGGAAAATGAAGGAACGGCCTTTACTTACGGTCTTCCCAACGCAGCCGAACGTGAAGCCGAGCGACAACATTGGGAAGATCAACCTGCGGTACTTAACGAAGTCCTTGCCGATAATGATGACACTTTACGCAGACAAGTATTTGCTGAATATTGTCGTCAAATGGGGGCTGATGTCTGATAGGTGTAAGTTTGGAATCATAACATTCATGTAATCGGTTTTGATAGTCAAATTGATCCTTTCAATCTCATTCAACTTCATTATTTCCAGGTGTTGGAAAGTTGCTCAAAAAATTTCTAACTGGTATTCTTCGATCTCACTTGATTTAATAACACAAATTAAATAAAAAATTGAATACGAACTCGTTCTTCTTGTTTGTTGAAGTTTCTGTCAATAAGTAAAGTTAAATTAAAAAATTGGTTGTATACGATCTCGTTCCTGATGTTTGAAGAACTTTCTTCAAAAAAGCGAAATTGTGTTCTTCTTGTTTGTTGAAGTTTCTTTGATTAAGTAAAGTTAAATTGAAAAATTGGTTTTATACAATCTCGTTCCTCTTCTTTGAAGATCTCTCTTCAAAAAAGCGAAATTAAAAATGGCAGGAGTTTTTGTTTGTTTAATCAAGCCTGGTGGCGTATCTCCAAAGAATGAATATCAATGTATTCCATTTGAGACATCACTAATTCAACTGAAACAATAATTGAGAGATCACTAAATCCAGTGAAACAATAAGTCAGAGAGCAGCATATAAGCTTATGTATTTGAAGGAGGTTACAAAAACAACGAGATAACTAAATAACTAAATCAACTAAATCAAAGAGATTAAAAAATCCACAGGAACAATTGGTGTTCCTAAACAACCGGTGGAATCGAGAGTTCCACAAAGAGTCACATAAACTAAAGTTCATAAGGGTGTAGCGAAAAGATGTTAGGTCTACATTCATCAAAAGGTGGAGTTGTGTTACCAGGTCTACATTGATCAAAAGGTGGAGTTGTGTTACCTACGTCTCAATCTTCAGCAAGCATTTTATCCACAGTCTCTTTGCTTCGGTCAAGGTCAGACCGAAGTTATCCATGTATTCTTTATATAGACGTCCTCTCAAAGAAATATCTTCAATCTTTGATTTCTTCTTATGACTTTCCAGCTCTTTCTCGATTTTATCTAATTCAAGGTGCTCTCTACGCCGCTTCAGTTCTTTTGTTTCATCCATATTTCTTTCTTTGAAATCCAACTCGGCTTGATTGAAAACCAAAGTCTCCCTCTTGAGTTGGAGTTCTTGTAATGACTGAGTGTGCTGATCGATTCCAGGGTTCAAACTCTTAGTGATCGCTTCGGAAAGTTTGTTGTTAGAAATGACTTCGGATCGTCTAGCAGATTGCTCCGCTAACATGTGTTGTTTCTTGAATTCCCACTCAGAATCACGTTCTTCGTGTGATGGTAAGTGGTTTGTTAAAACTGATGAAGCGGGACCTGAGTTGACTCGAGACGATTTGCTTCTCCCAGCGTTTGTAGAATCCACTGATGTAACGTAAGAGCTTTTTCGAGGTGAAGCATGACGAGGTTTTGAGAACTTAGGCCGAGAGGTGCTTTGAACCTCCAAAGTCGTTGTTTGATTGAGGCTGATATCATTCAATTTTTCATGTTCATCAAGGTTATGTTTGTCTTGATCATCATCTAACTCTTCCAAATGAGGACTGTCGATTCCAGCGAAGATTCGATCCAAGGAACTTTCATCTTCAAAAGGATCATCATCGTTTTCGATTTGATTAGCTCGGCTGGCCTCAAGTTGATTGTCCTCGGGTACCACTCGGAAATCAGTATTTTTTTGAGATGGTAAGATTGCATCAACATCAATCACATCGTTAGATTCCTGAACCGCGTCTGGCGAGTTTGCCTTTCGCCTTCCAAAGGCTGGGAGCATTTCTTCATAGTACAGACATTTTTTTTTGAGTAATGCTTTGGAGAATTGAAAAAGTAGATGGATCATATACAAATCAGTGGTCTATCTAAAAGAACATATACATAAGTAACATACACACCTTCGAACGAATCTTCCACCAAAGATAGTCGCTCCTTCCAAGCCTCACTATCGGATGTGTACCCATTGGCCTCCTTCTCAGCAATAGCATCTTCCATCAGCTTTTGTTTAACACCTTCCCCACTTGCTTTGCGGAAGTCTCGCCCATTTCGGTAACTCTTCTCGAGTTCTTGTATCTAATGCCAAAAGAAAATCACATGTGTTTAACATATGTATACATAAGTGTTGAAGATCGAAAGGACATACCTGGAATTCAACAGCTGAAGGTTTTATGTTGGGAAAACCGTTTTCGGTGAGGTACTTCGCAACCTCTTCAGCTACATCAGACTTCTTGATAGTTCCACCTTCACCTCTCCACCAGTCTATCCGATGACCATCACCTTCAGCTGTTATCAACCATTCGACTACGATCCACAGGGGAGTCTTGCCGTCCCTGTTTTTGTCGGTACGCCAACCAGTTCGAGCACGGACAGGGGAAGACGGCTGGTTGTTGGACTTGGGAGCGTTTTGTTTGCGAGAGCGCTTGGCGCGTTTCGGAATCGGATCAGTTTGAGTCAACACTTGACTCGCAGGAAGGCTTTCTTGAGTTTGAATGACAGGTTGGTAGGGTGACTGAGGCATGGTGCCCCAAATTTGCGGGTTGATGCTTGACGAGAGATGGTGTTGGTGGATAAGTGGCGTATTTGGGTTGATGGTTGGCGATACGAAGGTATAAGGGTAATGATGAATTGGTGGAGGTTGTCCAACAAAAGACGAGGCCGATGGAGTACGAGAAAGAGGGGAATTGGAGGAGGGTATATCAGCCATGTGATATTAATTGAGCGGGTGTTAGAAGGGCAGATCATGCATGTGGAGAAATAAATACATGTGTGAATATCTCCAAAAATAATATTTGGCCTGAGAAAGATCGTGGAGCCGAGAAACATCTTCGAGGTGTCCGAGAAGTTTCTAGATGTCACTTCTTGGCACTTCTCGGACCGGTTTCTCGAGTTTTGAATACCATTATTATTCCAGTTGCGGTTTCAATTCTTTTCTTTCTTTATAAATTCCTATCGAAATTCCCTTAGATTTACTTTTATTTTTTATTTAGTTATGCTTTCTTCATTAAGTTTCATATATTTTTCCTTGTTATTTCTTACTCAGAGATCGACAATTTATAAAAGTTTGTTTTAGAGTAGTAGTTAGAAGAATATTTGTAGCAGCACCTTTAACTTTCATGTAGGCCTCAGGCCTCCCCATCAGGGGTTCTTTTGTGTTTCTTAGTTCTCAAAGGAGTAATACAAAGACCTCGTTTGTGCGTGCCTCCCAAGGCACCACTCCGCGTACAACTAGCAGTCGAGCGATGAGTGAGATGTCCACTCCATCTGGAGACTCATTTCATGTAAATCAGTCACTTCTCGCTTTGGCGTGTCCGGCTGGGAATGATATCATGTAACGCTGATAGCGCCCGCGGCGAACGGAATCAGCATTTTTGATCATTTTGAGATTTACTATAGCGGCCGTCGGATGTGTTCTCGGGCTCACATGTGACTGGAATTCGAAATAAAGGAACATCTTCAAGAAAAGAGGTCAAATCCTATCGCGTACCTATTGCGTCTAGGGTGTGCAGATCTTACTCACCATGTCAAGCTTCGAAGCTTCCACAACATGGCGTGTGATTGAAGCGATGGTGTTTGGTGTGCACTGTGCGGGACTGTGGGCTTACATATGACAAAGTGTGACGAGTGCTTCGGAGGGCTTGCACTGATCCGAATCGTCCCTCTACCTGCTTCCTTCATAGAGAGTCAAACTCCACGAATGCCTTCGCATTGTCATCACAAAATGGACATCTGTGAATTTGGCGTGACAACTAGGGAGCTGATTTCCAGATGCTTCTGGGTGCCGTGAGCTTAAGCTGTACTCAGATTAGATTCGTCAGGAAACCCGTCCAAGAGATTTAGAGCTCCGATTTAGAGATCAGTGCAACTCAACAGTCGAGAAAGAAAACAGGCTAGCAGGGCAACGCACAACACTTCTCCTTGGTCCCCCCTGCCTTCAATCCATCCAGGTTTTTTTCTCAACTGGCGCCCCTGGTGGTGGTTCCTCGACATGCATACATATCAGTTCCTGGCCACTGTGTATACATAATATCTTCTTACGCCCCCAAGATAAGCTAGAGACCACCGGCTACACAAAATTTACTCTTATCATTCGATTTGCTGCCTCAAGGACCTTTGAAGTGTGCTGATTTCCATTTCCTGCACTGGAGCCTAATAGACACGGCCCGCGTACGTCTGACCAGCCGCCAACGGTGGCAGTGATAACTGTTGCTTCAAGTTGCCTCTAGTTGCTTCAAGTCGCACGGCAAGGTGCATTGACGATTTCTTTGACGCAATTATCCTACTCTCGAGTCTCAACGTCTTTTGCAGCAATCAACTTTGGTATACAGCTACTGACTCAGAGTCTTCCCATTAAACCACTATAGCTTATACTGCAGGCCAATTTGATTCCGGTTTTGTCGCTTGTAGGGCGATCATGATGGTGTAGAGTCGACCAATCGATTTTCAATACGTTCCTTTTTCTTATCCAACCGCCACACTCGCTACCAATTCTTCACTTGACGCGGAACTGAGCCTTGACAAAACTCAACGCTCACCCTGCGGAAGTCACCGGCATATCACACAGGTCTATCATCAAAGTATTGTCGCCCTCAACCCGCGAGTCCAAGAATCGTTCTTTTCGCCGCCTTTTTCGCGGACCCCCTTCCACCACGCCTCAGCTTCCTCGGGACTCTGCATCTGTATCACTATCGCCTACCTACGTCCTGGGATATTTGGATCACTTTAATTTTCATCGAGTTTATCCTGCTACGGAGCGCCCAGGGCATCTTGCACAAGCTGGACATCGGAAGCCCCAGTGAACATTTACGTGGGCTTGAAGCTGACCCAATTCTAATCAAAACCCGCCGAGCGAGGCAGACACCCTCCAGCCGATTGGAGACACCCGTTGTCCACTCTCGATCTCAGTTGTCCTTGGGAAACCTGGCTAGAATAGACACTCCAATCCAGGATTTGGGCTTGTCTGCACGTGTCGTGAGTCCCGAAACCTTGTTTGCCTTCTCAAGATCCTGATCGGCCTTAAATCATTTCCACACAAGTCGAAGGATCATTCGACGCGTCACTTCTATGGATATCAACTCAGATAAAATGTCTCCCATCGGTCTCATCCAATCGTCACAGCTATTGTACTCAGCTAGTCAGTCATCTTCAACAAAACCTGTATTCAACCAGCAGCGTCGTTCGGAATCTGTCTTACAGTCGGGACCGCCTTCAAAAAGCCAATTGAGCTTGGGAAACAGACTTTCGGCCTCTGCTATTGTTACCGAATACCCCATAGGGGATTATGAGAACGTCGGGCCACGCCGTCGACTTCAACCAAGGTATTATCGCCGAAGCGTCGGTGTGCTCCCTATCACCCAATCAACCCCTTCGAAAGCTCTTATCTTGTCACCTACTTGGAACCACCCGCACGTCCAATCTTCATTAATTCTAGCGCCAGCCACACTCCCCGACACCTCAAACTTTCCTTTAAGCTCGCCTTTGACACTGAAACAACCAATGACCTCAGTCATGCGTACTTCGGAACACGCAAAATTTACCCAGTCCACGACGCATCCACAAGCCGCACATGTGATTATTGAAGATCTTACACCTCGAGGCCCACAAATTTTTGACTCTTCATTGCACACAGACATCCCGAGTGATAACAAGACAGATGCTTCTAGTTCATCTCCCAGACTCTATTCCTTACTCACTCCTTCTGCGTACCGCTCCAAAAATCGTCCGAGCCCCAAAATGAAGAGTAGCTTTTTTTCAGCCCTGAACAAATCCGAGCCTAACTTTTCTTCCAGTTCGACGCCCAAAGCTAAACCCTCAGCCATCAGCAACAAATGCCCTCAGGACTCTGTAGAAACTCTTGATAAATCAAACCAACGGAGAAGTCCTCTTATTTCGGAGTTGTCTCCTAGTCTTTCGACACAAGCTCCTTCGCCGACTCTGAGTAATGATGAAATTCCGCGTCTGACGACGAGTCCGAACCTTCAACATCAAAAAATGAAATCTATCATCAATAGTACCTCGAAGAGAATTTCCATTTTCACCTCACGCCTCAATCACTCATCAGCCGCAAGTCGAACGGGGCCCAACGCCAACCGAGATTCACTTACAACATCAGATATCGGCAACCCAACACCGCTTCCCAATCGCACTGTCGAAACTAGCCTTCTGTCGGTAATTCCTTCAGACAACACATCGAGGTCCCCAGCAATTGAGTCAGAAAGTTCAGCAAGCAAGGCGAATGCGTCGAACAATAGCAGAATCCATTCTCCTGGGTTCTACCAGTCACTCAAGATGAGGTGGAAGCCGGAGCATAGTGGCCGAAGCGTACTTCCCCTTTCCCCCTCAAATAGTACACCAGCCACCAAAGAACTTAAGGCGCAAACTTTTTCAAACTATGAGAAACTGAAGAGATCTCAAAAACTGGCCATTCCATCTTTTGACGAACTTCTTCCTCCGGAATTACCATTGCCACAACGTTCATCGAGAATCAGTCTTGCGGAGTTTTTAACTTCTAAAACTCCAAAAAGAAGCGACACTTGCGAAGATATGGAGACTATAGCTCCCACAAGAACAGATTGCAAGCCCGTTTGTACTCTCGGCTCGAAGAAAATGACACCACGACCTGCTCAGACTCATATCTCACCTAGACCAAGAGCTGCATCAACATCAAGTACAATCTCCACGTCGACATGTGATCCTCTCGCAAGTTTTGCACTCCGGGGTCCAGATCCTGGTCGACGATTCAGCCATCTTAAACCTCTTCAGCTTCAGGTTGAAAGTCTTCGAAGACGGCCTTTGTCCACGCCCTCCCAAGTGGAACAGTTGAACGTGACGGAAGAGGTGGAGTTTCAAAATGGATTACATCCCGAAATCAATTTAGCGATATCTGCCCTTGCCTCATCTGGCAGCCTTGAGTCAATCACGGACAATTTTCCCCTAAGTCTGGCTGGACTTTCAAGTGTGATCCAGCAACGCGATCTGAGAGGCAATGAACTAGCGCGTGTTTCGCTGCTTACTGCTTCCTCTGTCTTTTCGGAGTCTCCGCCTGGCCATGTTCTCCTCAACGGGATCAAAAAGCGAGATAGCACGCGTTTCACTTGTCAGTCATTCCATAGGTTATTCATATGATCCGGTCGATTCTTATAGTGACAAATCTTTTGCCTTTAAAACACAGTGGGACCATCCGTTCAAAGAAAGTTACGCTCAGAGGAATACGATAACGACCTCATGACATTTCTTTTACCTTCCCCGCAAATGGGATTGGACAAGTCAACCGATCCGCTGAGCTTGATCAACCCCCTACTTCCCGAGATTCCTTTGACGAAGGTATCAGATTATCCCATTGGTACCACAGATCACTATCTGGAAGTCCCTGCACGTAGACAAGCGAGCTTAGAAAATGGTGGTGGCAGAAAGGAACCCCAAGTGGCTAGAGGTTAGCCGTCATGTTCCTACTTTCTCGCATACCCGCCTACTGGTTTCATTTTGTCATCTAACCCCTCACATACTTCATAGATACTCACAAATCAACAGACATCGTGACTGAGTGTAACAGTTCACTTCTCGCGGAGAATTTACACCACACAAAATATAAATCCTCTGATTCCCGTCGATCTTCTATCAGTTCGGTCCTCAACCGAAAAGACTCCCTTGATTCATCTACACCGGAATTGTTCCAAGGAATTTGGGAGAAAGAGCTGGAAGAGAATGAGCGGAAGTGGAAGCGCCTGGCGAGGCTCAGTGATAGCCGAAAGGGATCCGAAAATATAACCAGTTGTGATATGCTACAAGACTTTTCAATAGTGCCGCTCACGCTCAAGGATGATCTCAGAACCAAACCTTTCATCACCGCTGGTAGCAAGCGCCTCAGTCTCAGTGCAATCAAACCAAGTACTCACAAGCCCTCATCTCACCTAGAGGCCCCATCTATGCCTATAGCGCTAGATACATCAACTGATCCCGACTGCTTATCAAAGATTTGGGATTCTTTCAAGTCGGAAGCTGATATTAGTCTAAGTGAGATGACTTACGATGCTACATTGAATGATGATCTGGGGGGCAAGCTAGATCACATTGATCATTACTATATCCCTGAAGAGACGGAACTTTTAATTGAGCGAAAACCACTCACCAAGACATTCGCTTCAAAGCCGTACAATCCTTCCTCCACTTCGAAGGCTGAAGTAGTCGGCCTCGGTCTAGTTGATATTACATCGAATTCTTACAGTCAATTTGATGTCACAAGCTTCACCCATTCATACCATGTCCCAGCTCCGGCTCAAGATGTTAGCTCCAAGTCATCTGTGGGTATACACAAGCTGAAAAAACTGTCCCTGTCCAGCGATAAAGCTTTCAAACCCCCTCCTTCATCTTCAACGTCGACGAATGTACAACAAATTTGTGCCATAAAAACTGCAGGACCTCTCGCCGATGACTCCTTCACCCAGAGTTTGATTTTGGATCCCTCACTGGTCAACGCTTTTCCAACACCCCCCAAGGGCCATAGATCAAGCCTGTCTTCATCATCGTCACACTCAAGTAAATCGCTTCTATCTCCAAGAAAAAATCGAACCCGCCTCTCGTTGATAGCGCGCTGTGAAAGCAATGAACTCATGTTTACTGACTCGAGTCTCAGGATGGGAAAGACAAGTCGCTCTAGTGCAGAGAATATGGCCGATCCAAGGATGTTGGATGTAAAAGCCGAGGTTTCCGCGCCGTCCAAACCCCCGAACGATTTCTCGGAGGGAGCTGTGCACCAGCCAAAATCGTTTTCAAACCGGCCTCGCGCTCAGTCGGGATTCGGGCGAGCTCCACCTCCAGCTCCAATCCAGATTTTTCCTTCATCCCAATCAACATCTGTTTCATCTGCAAAGACAGTTTCATCTGCAAAGACAGTTTCATCTGCCAAGACAGTTTCATCTGGCAAGACGCGAAGAAGGAGTCTGGGGGTGACAGCTGGGAAGAACAGCTTGAGCCATTCGATGAGGAGCCCTATTTATATGAAACCACCAGCCCCTCCCCCCAACGTACCACTTCCACTTGAACCAGGTCGCAAATTGCATTCACCAGCTGATATTCACGGAACTAAGTATCTCAACAAGGAAAAAATTGCATCTCCTTCGAGTCAGTCAAATCTCAGTCCTGGGGCACTTAACCCTGGCTCGCTAAGTCCAGGTTCACTGAGCCCCGGAGGATTGACAGTCAAAAGACCGAGTTTGGTGATTCGACCAAAGTTGACGCCTTCACGCTCTGGTGGTATTTATCCTACTTCTGGGTCATCTCGGCCACTCCTGCAAGCAGGTATAACAACATTGCCAACAAAAACTTCCACGTCTCCCACCACCCTCATTCAGGATACCCGATCCTCTGAATGTGAAAGCCCAATGGCTTCCAAAAGCTTCATTGTAGACCTTCATCATGATTTGGTAGATCAGACGAAAGACGCCACCCAGTCTTCTTCTTCTCATGCGACTTGTTCGTCACTTTTCTCGTCCATAGGAAACTCTTCTATGTCTACGACTTCGACCATCTCGTCTCCATGTACACCCTCGTCGACACGGCACAATCATAATCATTACATACCACCTGTTCCTTTAGCTCATAGCTCTAACTCGCCTAATTTCACAAGCCATAGACTGGGGAGAGTGCTCCTTTCACCACCCTCGTTGATTCCATTCTCTTTCACAGAACCATCTCAGCTTCTTACTACACCCCGTACGGCGATTTCCAAACTCGAGCAATCTAAACCTCCTACACCCAATACCATCAAACCGAGTAATAGATCGCTTGGTCCCGCCCCATCGACCGAGCAACTATTTCGATCCACAAATCGCCGTTTCCCTCGTTTAAAAAATGATCTGCTATCCCCCACAGGGCCTTCTGCAATTTCATCGCCTAAACCTTTGGATAAATCCGAGTGGGTCAGTTACGGTATGGCAATGTAGGAAGACATACAACCTTTGTTCAGACAATTGAGTTTCTGGTAAGTCAAGCCCATTCTCCAATCTTGCCATGGAGCCATTCACTGACAAAATCACTGGCTTCGAACAGGCTGACATTTTCTAAACTTTGAACATTTCTTGTACAGTTGCCCATTCAAATGGACACTAATAAGTCATCTTGCTTTTTATACCTGTGTTATTTTTATTTCCTTGGCTTCTTATCAACCTGTTGTATCATCTCAATCTATAGTTATATAATGTATCAATATCCATGTGTACACTTGAGTGAGCTCCTCAGATATAAGTTACTTGTTGCTTGAGTTTTTCTTTGCTTTGCTTGGTGTTTTGCTTGTATCCATCCAATCTATTCTGATGTTTCAAAGGGAATATTTGTGTTGTGTTTAGGAGCTTTCAAAAAATGGTGGTGTCAAAGCCATCATGCCAGACTCGAAATAAATTTGACCAAGGGATTGTAGTCGTATCAATCTCATTTTCCCTATTCAGAATTTGGCTTCGAGTCAAACACTTTGGAGACTGCATCTCAAAGGTGAAGCCAAAGAGAAAAGGCTATGTTAATGGGAGTGATCCTTGAAAGTTCATGTGCAGTCCCCTTCATCTACAGCTTACAGCTGATTTGAGAATGATTGGCCACTTTTTTTGGAAATAAGTTGTGCCGTGGTGATCAAAACCAACCAAAAAACAATTTAACAGGGTTTGTATTCTTTGTATTCCCAAAATTAGCAGAGAAACAAAACTTGGTCAAAAAGAAAACCAGGCTTTGCACCATAATGCACTTTTCAAAAAAACTAATCATTCTCAAATCAGCTGTATATACTTACCTCATTGCTGGAGCGCTACCAGGTCATATCTTGTCACTTGCAATCAATCAGATTTGCAAGATCTCTTTTCAAAGGAGGCTTTCCAATTCCATTCAAATGATGATATTGTTGATAATACCCCAGATGTTGATCCCAACAATCAGGCTGTTGAAGACAAACCTTTCATATCGGCACCCAAAAAGCGCTCATTGGCCAATGGACTTTTATCTTATCTAGCATAACCTTGAGAGCCCGGATCTTGTAAACCATTGGATTATTGGGGACATAATGAAGGAACTTATCCATCTCTTTCAAAACTGGCTTGAATTTTTCTATCACCCAGCAAGTGATACTCCTTCAGAAGGTAGCCATGCACTGTGAACATCATTCAACTTCCCCAAGTTGGAAGAGGAAAATGATTAATAGTACAGTTTGTCATAAAAGGATCCAATAATGCACACCTGAGCCATAGAACCCACACTACATATGTGCAGCAAGCTAAGTAAATAGTTGTCTATCATGTACATGCAGGTCTGCTCAGTTATCTGCCCATCAGAATAAATAAATCACATGTTATACCACATGTAACTTTTTTGACTGTAAAACAATTCTCCCAAAAACCACTACATATAATTCTGTAGCTGCTCAGGCAATATTGTTGAAGCTATTTCTTAGTAACAGAAAGGGTGTTACATACCATCGAGTCAATGAGATCACACCAAAATGTTGAGTCAGTGTATGTAGTCAATCTTTTGAATGCTTTTGTCAGTCTGAAAAAAGTTACAGCATGTATTACATATGAATAACTTATCCTGATGAGCAGATAACTGAGCAGAACTGTATGTACATGATAACCACCTCTTCACTGAGCCTGCTACACATATGTAGTGTGGGTGTTACATTGCTCAGGTGTGGAGTGATAGATCAATTTATGACAAATCATATTCCCAATCATTTTTTCCTGCCCACTTGGGGAAGTTAAATAATGTTTGTAGTGATGGTCTCAAACCAGATACTTTTGAAGATCTTGTATGCCTTAAGACCTGAAACAAGTTATGATTGATGGTTGCTCTAGTTTTCTTATTCAAGTTTTCAATGTCTCAATTTAGACTTACAGCTATTCTGTTGTATGTTGGACATGAAGAAAAAATGAAAAGTTCAAATTTCAATTTTTAGCTGGATTTAAACACAACAGCCACTGTATTGTCTGGTTTTCAGTGGTGGATTTTGAAGTTTAATCTGCTTGAAGGTAGTAAAGAACTTCATTATCTTTTCTCAAGTCCAACATATGATCAAACAGTAGTACAAGTTTTAACAAAATATTAATATACACAAAAGGTACAGGCTAGGGGTTAGCACATCCCACCCAACCGGTTGAGGTTAGGGGTTAGCACATCCCACCCCACCGGTTAGGCTAGGGTTAGGGTTGGGGTCATAGTCTCTTTGAATAAAAAAACATGTATTGTTGTAGCCTTTTGAAATCAAAACATGATATTGGTTTGCCTCTTGAGTGAACTTGGAGAGTGTATTTTCCAAAATTCCCCATTGCCCACATTATGCAGGCTGGATTGGGCCAACCTGGTTTAGCCCAGGTTCAGGCCAAGACCGGCTTGACCTGGTCCCAAACCCGGGACTGACCTGATTTCTTTGGGCCAGGTTGTTGCATTAGTATCAGATGTTACTAGGGCTATGACCCGGCCCTGGCCCCAGTTGCCCCAGCCTGCCCAATGGTTTTGTGGAGGCAACCGGTACATGCCCCGGGCCAGCTGAGCTTACCCTACAGAGTGCCAAGAGCCCTGCCATGGCCCTCAGGGCACCGGCCCTGACGTTCTTGGTCCTATGCCTTCAATACAAGCCCACAACAGGCCCTGGTCTGCTTGAAGATGCAGCCGGGCCTTTGCAGGGCCTGGCGGGACACACATGCCAGGGCCAGGTCATAGCCCTAGATGTTACCAGTGTTTTTTTGTATGTATTATTGTGTTACATGTCAGTATTTGGGTACATGTGTATGTACAGGGCTTACAGAGGTCTATGCTAATCCCCCTTGAACTTTTCACTTATGAGCACTGCAAAATGTTAGTGAAGAGTCAGCCAGAAATCAGCTGACCCCTCACAGGTCCATTGTTTGATTGGGTTGCACACACAAATGCACCTAGATGTACCATGGATGGAAGTGGAATATCCATATCCTCATGCCTGCATTTCTGAGCTTCAGGAAATGGGGACAGAGTGGATTTTGTAACCCTAAGCATTGTAGGTATCTATAAAGATGAATTTCTATCCACAACTAGCAATAACAAACCCAAAGGTGATAAGTGAGGGTATGGGTGAGAATTGCTGATTTGTGCTAGTATCAAGATTAACAACCTGCATAAACACACATAATAGGTGACAGAGTTCACACAAATGATATCAATACAGGAGGTAAAAATATGTGAGTGAAGATAATTTTTGTAGGGGAGGAGATAATCTCTGGGAAGGTTTGAGTGTCACAAGATATGAATTTCTAGTGTAGAGGTTTTAACTTCAGAAGTCAGACCATGAAATCCAAAAAGCCTCTACAATTTTCCAGAGCCTCTCAGCCTAGATAGGTCAGGTGACATCAACTACCAAAAATTCACTTGCATCACAAATTGTCTGATACACCAAGACCCTAGGGAGCTCCTATTGAGGTGCATAATGTAAAATGTTTCATTTTCTGATGTTTTCTGTGAATTTCTGTTTATTTCACAGCATGCAAACCATGTTAAAAAGTCTTGACAATTGTAACATTGTCAATCCCAAAGATTACAAAGTCCCTTGCTTCTTGCTAGGCCTTGGGAAGGGAGGAGTGAGGAGCTGTGTCAAGTTTCTATGAATGTGAACTGAAGTAAAGTGTATGTAATGTAGGGTTTTTTAGATTGTGCACCTTGATAGAAGCTCTCTGGATTCCTGGCACAGTTTTGGTGCAGCAATTCCTAGGTTTTCACAGGCATATAACAACCTGTTATGAAGTTCACATATGTGTAATGTAGTTGTGTCTTCATGCTATCTGCTAATAAATTTCTTTCCATAATAATGTCCTTATAACCTATTAGCATGAGTTACTTTATATATAGTAAGCACTGTGTCCTTGTGGCAGTTACCCAACAACAAGTGCACACAGACTGCCTTTGAGGCACAAAGGCAACTTGTGTGTGCTCCTTGCCGAGCGAACCCCACATAGACATGGTGAAGATTGGTCTTCTTAACCTTTCTTTATTATTCTAACATTTCCATCAAGCTGTGAGATTCAATCTTATCACAACCACTTGGCCTTGTGGAAGTTCCAATAATTTAACTACTCAGGTTGTCGGCGCGCTGATAATTTTGTAGGCGCGCCGAGGCGTGTTTTTTCATGATTTTTTGCGCCGGGCGTGTTTTCTTACAAAAAAAATTGTCAACAACCAAAATGTTGTTTTTACATTGTCATATATTCTATATTTGTATTGCTGTAGCTATCTACCACCACAAAATTACCTTTTGGAGGTGAGAAAAGCTAAAAAGAGCTGTCTTCAAAGCTCACAGCAAGGGTCCAAGTCTCCAAAATTGGTGACAGGACATAGAACTCCAAAGATCTGGTGTGTTTTTTGGAAAGGCGCGCCGGCCCCAATTTTGGGCATTTGTTTGACACCTAGGCGCGCCCACAACCTGAGTAACTACACTAAAGATGATTGGCACAAGTGGCAAAGAGGCCACAAAGCTTTTCTAAAACCAATGAATTACTACTAACGCTAAGCCTAGCTCAGACAGACATCAAAAAAACCCCAATCAAAGTAAAATAAGAATCAAAACAGAAAAGAAAAGAACAATCACACTTGTAGAAACTGAACACATGATGATCACAAGCTGTCACGCCTGTGATAGTAAGGTGTAGTAACGTGTAGTAGCCTTAGTCTTACACCCTGTCAATAAAGTTGACTTTGAACAAAACTCTTCCAGATGAAATGAAAAGGATGAGGATCTATCTCTGCATATGTATATAATGTGCAAGATGATCTGACTGCACACAAATCCAAGAGATAGTTTGATTTTTTAATTCCTCTATTTCCCTTTCCTCTGAGAAAAAATAATGATGTTGAAATACAGCCGTTCCAAGAATGGTTGATTATTTTTTCAAAAATTCTCTCTTGTGCAAAACTCATACAATTGGTTTTGTTGAGTTTCTGCTTTTCATGAAACTGGATGATAAGGAAGGAAGAGGATCCTCCAATGAAGATCTTGTTAGCTTAACAAAGCCCTCTCTGCGCGGCCGCGTCCGCGCCTTCGCAGAGGGGCTTAGGACTAATCGTCGATTTTTGGCTTGAGCACTACACTCCTTAAGTGTCTCTAAGGAGTTTTTTGGATTTTCACGCTTCCCTCACAAACAAACTTCACCTGACTCCGCAGGGAAAGTTGTTCTGATAAAAATTCTACATAATCTCGTAGTCAAACATCATGGCCAGTGTGAACGGTGTGGCCAAAAAAGGAGGTTGATGATTCTTACAACACACCTGTAGCAATGATTCAAAAATCGGGTACGGTGCAAATTCACCCTGTATGCCCCTTTACAAGTGAGACATAAGGCTTGAAAACTCCCTCAAGAACAGCATGGTGGGGTAGTGTTTCTCTCGTGAGAACAAGATATACACATGTAGAAAATGATCGTGAACAACTTTCCCAGCAGGGCCAAGTGAGGTTGGCTTGTGAGGGAAGCGTAAAAATTCGAAAAACTCCTTAGAGACACTTAAGGAGTGTAGTGCTCAAGCCAAAAATCGACGATTAGTCCTAAGCCCCTCTGCGAGGGCGCGGACGCGGCCGCGCAGAGAGGGCTTTGTTAAGCTAGAGATCTTGCGTCCTTGTGACCATTCATCTGTAAATCTTTTGAAATACATCTGTTAAATCCTTTATGATCATTGTTTGGCTTTCATGGATAGTGGTAAAAACATCCTTTTCACATTGGTTAGTAAGATTTGCCATAGCCAGGCCTTGGCCGACGCGCACATCAGGCCCCAGGGGTGGTCAAGTTTACACTCTGCCTCTGGGCCGTGGCGGGCATCACAGGACCCGTTACTGCCAAACTCATCGGGTACTCCGTCACGGTGGGACCAAGTGGTGCGATGGTACTGAGCCATTTCTGAGTCAATTTTCCTTCACAACACCATCTTGACTTCAGTGCATCATGTCCGAAGCTTCTCGATCTTATCGTTCATCAGGTCATCGTGGCAGGAGCCGAAGTAGAGACCGATTGAATGATGACTATCGCGCCACCCGACGTCCAAGCAGTCAAGAACGACATCGATCTCATAAACCTGATGGTGATGAAAGACTGAGTCATCGATCGAGAGGGCGAGAGGACGAAGATAATTATCGAGAAACGCATTCTAGCTCGCGTCGTAGACCTGACAGTCGAGATAGAGAAGATGATCGAAGGGCTCATTCCTCACGTCGATCAAGATCACCACCACCATCATCTCGAAGACGTAGATCAAATTCCTATTCCGATTCAGAACGTCGAAAGAGTAAAACTAAAGAACATCATAAAAGTTCGCATTCGAAACATCGACAGAGACATGCTTCTGGATCTTCAGATGATTCATCTTCCAGTGACGACGAAGAAACATCAGATCGAAAAAATCGAAAGAAAAAATCGTCACATCGTAGAGATCGAAGTGAGAGTGTTGATAGTAGTAAAGGAAAACACAAGAAGGAATCAAAAGAAGAGAGGAGAGAAAGGAAAAGACGTAAAAAGGAGAAACGCGAGAAGGTGAGTTGATGTTTCGATGATGTCTTCTTGGAACTTTGTGATCTTTTCCATGTTTTGATTGTTGTCCACGGTTTATTCATTGTTTACCGTCTATTAAACATCGGAACCTAACTTTTCTTGTAGAAAAAGTTGAAAAAGAACGGAAATTCCAGCAAACATAAAGGTGTAGTCAATGAGTATGGAAAGTTTGGAATCATTAGTGAAGCTGATATGTTCACAAAAGATCAAGAGTTTAGGTAATCATTCTTTTACTCAGATAGATCTGATCTAAGACTAATTTACGGTTCATTGGTTGTTCTGTTGCAAGAGCTTGGCTTGTTGAAGAAAAAATGTTGAATCCGGAGACAGTGCCCGTCTCAAAGATGAAAGAGCTCTTCCGGTCAGTTTGTTTCTTCACATAACTTTTAACATTTCAGCTTCAGTTCAACCCAAATCCCACTGATACCGATCGCCAATTTGGTTAAACAGGGTCTATATGGAGGATTATAATACAGCCACCTTACCACACGAAAAGTTTTACGCACTCGAGAAATATGAATCTAAAATGTTAGTCATTGACTTTCTCTATCTGTGTATCTACTTGGCGTGCTGACCCCACCTCATTATTCTTTACAAAATAGGAATGCGATCCGATCAGGCCAAACAACAACGGGGGATTTGGGTTACGATCCCAGAGCTGATGAAGCAGCACTAGCAGCCCAACATAAACGTGTAGCCAAGACGGATGGTGAAGTTTATATCGGAAGAGCTCAATTAGAAGAACTTCGAAAACTTGAAAGGTAAATCTTTCTTTGCTTTACCTTACATACTAGGTCAGTCATTAAAAGGTTTTCTGTTTCTTGATGTAGGGATCGAGTTGAAGCGTCGCGAATGAAGCGCATGGGAATGGAAGTGAAGGAAAGTATGGGAGTTAGATACGAAAGAGATTGATTGATTCAAAAACAAGATCTCTCTGTATCTCTTATCTAGTGAAACATGGTAAATGTCATAGTATCTCGCATCGTTAGTACAACGATGTTCTGATTTACGGTGCAAAAAACGTTTGTGACATCGTATGTATTTATCCTATATAATATTTTATGAAATTTGGTAAAAAAAATAGTAACTACACTGAGAGCAGAATTTCAACGAACAAAGTCCAGTTGGTGACAATATGATAAGAGAATCGGCTAAGCGGCCCGCTTGTTGAACTAAGAGCGCATGTGTTGACTTCGATCATTCAAGATGTATATACCCCACTGACAATGTGCCCATATGTTGATTTTTGATAATCGGCGTGTTTTGATGTTACCGCTCAGCCCTTAAGCTTCTCATCTGATTTAGAATATCAAACCTCATCGTTAGCTCGATCACATTTCAAAAAAGATGATTGAAAGAAAAGATCACAAACCAATGATTTATGTCTCTTATCTACACCAATCCATTCTTTATACTCAGGTCTACCTTCACCCCATCTACCATAACCACTCCAACCATCAACTACTCTAAGATTATTAGGCCAAGGAGCAGAATTAGAAAGGATCATCGATGATGAAGTAGGATTGCTTTTGATGAATTTTTGTGATTGGTCTAAAACCTTTTTGACTAATTTATTGGTTGTAGTGATTTTTTGAGCTCTAGAAGATGAAGATGAAGAGGATTTGAGTGTTGGTAAATTGAGTTGATTTGGTTCCAAGAGTGAGATTGGGATTGGTTGTTTAAGTTTAGATTCACTTGGAATTAAACGAGTTGGTCGTGCGATGGTTGGACCTAGAATTGGATGAATGATTGGTTTTTTTCTTGCTTGGAGTAGTTTAGTTGGTCTCATGATCGATTGAAGTTAATCCGATAGTGTTGGCAGGTTCTGGAGATTCTTGGTTATCGATTCTGAACAGGATGAATTGAGAATTTGAGGATGAACACAAAATTGGATAAAATCATGAACCCGACCCGTCCCGCTGACCAGACGGATCATGCACCGAGACAAATGAGACTGTCAACTCGAGCAGAGGCGGTCATGAAGTCATCCTCAGGCAAGCGACTGAAGTTCATCGATCACTTATCACAGAATGCTTCCAAGATTAAACACACGATCATCCATCCTATCAAATCTTCACCATCAAACAACCAAACCCAACATCAACTTTCAATTCACAAGAAATCAAACAAATCTATCATCAAAGACTTCAAACCAACCTCAATCGCTGAAAAGATTCATATACCCAATCATACTTTTCTCACTCTTAACATCATTCACAATAAATCTAAAATCGTTAAAATTAGAAAACGAGAACCAATTTCATCAATTAAATGGACAAATTAGTATTTTAGAAAGTATTCTATCAAAATTAAAAAAGAATGGTTATGAATTTAAAGATGAAAAGGAAAAGAATAGATTCATAAAATCAATTGAAACTGATTTAGAATTAGTCGGATTGAAAGAAAAACCAATTCCTCAAGAAGGATTTAAAGTTAGTAGAAATGTATCATGGAAAGAAGTCTTCTTAGGTAGAAGTGATGTAGTTAAAAGTGGAAACGAAAAGAGTGAAGAAGATATGATTCTTGGGTTAATGAAAGAAGTTGAAGAGACGAAGTGAGAGGTTGATCCATTACTCAAATTTGATAATCTCACTCATGTACAATGTGTATGATTCGGCGAGGCATAGGAAGTAAAAATTTGTGAATTGGCGCTCCTTTGAAAATGTTAGCATCCTCAACTTCTTTTAATCTGCTCTCATGAAAGGTCGAAGAAATCTTACAAAATGCAAGCTTTGATCAGATCTCATTTTTTTTGAAAAGAAATGTTTTTCTTTACAGTTTTCAGCTACACCCTGCAGGGCACATTTGGTATAGAGAAACTTCAATCTGCTTATTCCATATAACATTCACTTGAGGTAGGTTCACCATCTGCCCAGGCTGTATAATAATCATCTAAATATCAATCCTGCTCATATTGATTGCAAGATCCCAGGTGCGGTTATGTAGTAGAACGAGTTGAGAGCTTGTAAACCATTACATTGATCATTTTTTGATTGATCTTTGTACATACATTTTTGTGAAGCTTGTTCCCCCCAATAATTGCAAACCAGAAACATGAGGGGTCAGCACCTAATCAAAATGTCCAATGGCCCATGGTTTTTGAGAGCACCACAACTTTTCATGACATTACATGGCATTTTGAGGTCTTGTCCTGCAGAAAATTAGTTTACAACCATTCAACTTTTTGTTGGAAAGTTTTACAAAAATGCCTGTAAGGTCTTTAGCTAGTTTTAGTTGGAGTGGTGGAGTACAGTTGGATCAAAGCCTTACATAGACTTGATATATGCCTGGAGAAGAAGATGAGAGTGGTTGATATATCCAAGCTGGTGAAGTATTCCCGCGCTTCTATGGGTCAGTCAAGTTTATCTAACTCTTGTGTATTTTTTATATACACTTATAGCTTGGAGGTAATTTGAAATAGACTGTTAAAAGGTTTGAGATAGATAAATGTTACTTGGGGTCTTTAAAACTAGACTTATAAGGTGAAGAAAATATTGTAAAATTGATCCTTGATACTTGACCTGAAAGATGACTAAAGTATAAAAATGCTTTCAGGGTTTTTTGCTTTTTATCATTTCTGAAGTTTCTTGGACTCTTGGGTAAGTGCTTGATGACTACTGAATTTTGAGAATTGACTTAATTATGTATCTGAATTTTCTGCATATTCCCTCAGGATTCCACAATTGCAATCACTCTACACTCAAAGCTACTTCTTGTAGGAAGCTTTCTGTGATCATCTTCTAGCATGAATGAAGCATGTGGAACATTGATTCCATGCTTGTCTTCTGCCCTGCTGTCATGCTGTAAGAATACATAAACTTCATCAGGCTTCTGCTTGCTTAAGTAGAACCACTCTTGATCTTCCATGTACCTCCAAGCTTGGATTGCATTTGAAGGATTTGTTGGAGTTGTTCCCCAATTGGGACATTCTTCTTCTGATGGTGACTTCCATTTACAAAGGCCAAGAGGATTGTCTTCCACCACACAAAGGGGTCTCCAAACATTGAGGATAATAACATCTTTCCCTTCAGCTAGATGCTTTTTAAGTGTGATCTCACTTGGATCCTTAGAACAAGCAAGACTGTTTTGAATTTCTTCTTTCATGAATCTTGCACCATCTGGTGACATATCAGAGTGGATAATTGGAATTGGTTGGCTTGGTTCTGCAAAATGTCTGTAAGCAGAATTGAAGGACATGGCACATTTTGAATTTGTCCTGGACATCAAAAATCATTGAGCATGTTTTTGTTCTTTTGATAGAAGACAATTTCTCAAAGATTTACTCACAGAGATTTAACAAGATCCACAGAATCTTTTGTCAAGGCAGCTTCTTGTTCTGCAGAAAAGTCTACTAGAGCTTCAAATCCCTTCACATTTCTTCCAGAAACATAAGTAAATCCATAACTTTCCAAGTCTGGTGCTTCTCCAATAGTACGTAGGTCTGTAAGAGGAACTCTATGTATCTGTTTGTCAAGGGTATATTGACCAGTTCCTTGACCCCTCTCATAACAATAGACATCTCCCAAAACAGTGGCAGTACCTGAAGAAAAATCTACAAGCAAGACAAGAATTTGAGTCAGTGTTGAGAAAGGTTTTTTGTAGTTTTGTAAGGTTCAATGAAAGCAAACCCTTCAGGCCTCTTTTGCATATACTTCTACAGTTCATAGAATCACAGAAAACAAGACTTATAGACACTAGCATTTTGAACAAAGACATTTAATTGATTATACTTGATAGACTTATTTTGCTGAGTTGTCAAAGTATTTAAGTGGGAAGAACCCAAGAATTTGAGTTGAGATCTTCTTCAAGATCATTGATTTCATTGATGATTGTGATGCACCATTTGTAATTGAAACATCATTCAATTTTGGTCCCAATCTTGTTATACACACATATTTTTTGCAATTCTTAGCAAGAATTTTTACATTATGTCAGATAAATTGAACAAAGATATAAAACTGAGGTACAAATGAATGGAGACTATCTTTTTGGTGAAGGCTGAGCTATGTAACCACACATAAACTCTTCCAAAGATTTGTTTGACACACTTCTTATCAACAAAATGTAGATCAAACTTCTTATCAAAGACATGCAAAACAAATTCCTTATCAAAGAGATCCAGAACAAAATTATCAAAGAAATCCAGAACAAACCCCTTATCACAGAAATGCAAAACAAACCCCTTAACAAGGAGATTCAGTTTGGTGTGATGTTGTAGGTTCAAGTATGATCTTTGAACTAGCCATATTATGGGACAATGCAAAATATTCAGAACAGGATTCAAGAGGATCAATACTTACAGTGTGACAATTGCATCAAAAGTATGAAATTCCTTTCATCTCTACAGTCCCCTTCAAGTGATTTACATAATCATTCAATTTCAGGAAACAAGGATGGTACCAGGTTGAGGGCCTGTCAAATTCACTTTGTCCAACTGAGTGGTTACAAATCCTCAGCATGGGGATTTGTACATGAGCCTGCAAGAATCTTCCAAATGTTGAGTAAAGAAACAAAAGGGTATGCAAAAAACAGTTTTTGTTGACCTTGAATTTTGCTAATTGTGATATAGATAGGAACATATTGCTGGAGTATGAATGAATCAATCCTAATATCCAAATATAGAAAAAATTGTGTCAAGAGATTTCTGTTTCAAGATACACAAGGGTTTTTGTCTTCTTTGACTCATCAGAGATGATAAATATAAACTTCAAAGTTTCACTCAAGTGAGCAAAGATCAACATCAGAGAATTTTACCTCTCACAAACAGCTTTTGGCAAAAGCAACAGGAAATCACAGTTATGAGATACAGAAAAGTCCAAATCTCCTGAGAGTGGAATCATAGGGGGAATTTCAGATTCTTTGTGAGTGGTATAAAAAGGTCACTTCATGTCACATATAAACCAAGGACCATGAGGATTAAACTGACCCTAACTCTGAACTGGCCCATGGAGGTATGTGAATATTAGGGCACATCATCTTGCAGGAAGCTGCAACAATACAAACCTCATATCAACCATCCTTGTATCAATCCTTGAAGTCTATAAATGTGGTTTTTCTTGCATCTTGGTTAGTGGACCAATCTTTGAATAATTCTGGTTGCTATCATAACCCATCTGTGCAAGACATTTCTCAAAAGAGGGATTCATGAACATTGTGTTGTTTAATTTGGAGGGTTATATTGCATAGGTTTCAGGCTGTTTATATACCTGCTAGAGTTTTTTGAGATGATTGAGAAGCCTCAGAGGCAACTTTCACTTGGTTCTACATATACCAAAATGCATTTGTACTGATAGCTACGGGGTACCAAAAGGCCACCTCACTGTGCTTGTGGAGGTTGCCCTCAAGAGTACAAAGGCCAGCCTTTCCACTTTTTGGACCCCCCAACGTATGGGACAGTCCATCCATTGACTAATACTCTTTTGCATTCAATTTTGTGAAAGGCGGTCTGACCCAAACTTGACAAAGTTCCTCACCTTTGCCTCACAAAGCCTCAAGTCAGGGACTTTGTTAAGTCTAGGGCTGATGGGACTGATCAGGGCAAAGATGAGTTTTGAATTGGTCGTGGTCAGCAGACAGATCAAGGTCTTTTGTTTTCACCATGTAATTTGCTGCCATCAAGCCTCTTAATCTCAGAAGGGGGCCATACTCAATGACAAAAATATCAAAAACTAAAATAACTATACTCAAAAAAGTCCCATGCTTGCTCCCTGCAAATAGTCAAGCAAGGTATTTTGGGCTGGTGGGTCGCTAAAAACGTGCACTGTTGAACAAATCCAAGCAACAGGACCATGCAGGTAACACAACACAACACACCAGGTTGAAAAGTTTCCTGGTGCATTGCTCCTTGGCATACAGCATTTATCTCAGCTGTGTTGCAGTTGTGGCACTGTTGCCAGCAACTTCTCCCTTACATTTCTGGTAACAGAGTGTGCTGCATCCTCAACCTTAACCCTCCAACCCTCAATCAACATCCTCAAACTATCAATCCCCCAAATCTGTATCATGGTAGTTTTTTTATTCTATTACTTGTAATGGCTAGAAGCCCAGGGCAGTTGACAACCCAAAAGATTGATTGATGCTGTCATTGTTTTAGTTTTATTACAGCACTTCAAGAATCCTTTGGTTTTTTTTAACACAAGAAAACAAAATAAATGTCCAAAACCCTTGCTAAAACCCTTGCTGAAACCGATTTTGTACTAGAATCTGAGTGTCCAAATGACTTTTTTTCGAGTTTTGTCCAAAACTTTGAAAGAAGACCACCAAATAAACCAAAGGATTCTTGAACCGCTGTATGTTGATTGTTTTCTGTTTGTTGTTTTTCTTTTCTCGTTCTTTTTTTCAATTCTTATGCCATTTTTCATTATTCTTATGCCCACTTTTTATTGAGTATTATGCCTACACCTAATTCTTTACTGTTGCTATCTCTCTTACCAATTATTATACTTGGGTTTTTGCTTCTCAAAGGTTTGCATTGGAAATAGGCAATGTGTGTGAGCAACTCAAGCAATGGCCCTTTTCATTGTGCACAATGCATCAGGACTTACAATTTACTGTTGTGTTGGGGTTCTAGCAATGCTGAGAAAGCTAATCTACCCATAGCTGATAATGCATGGTAGTGTAACTGAAAATAGCTTGCTAAGCTACAGCTAACCTGATTTATGCATCAATGAATTCCAGCTACCCTATACAGACTCCCAGGAAATCTCCAGCTAACCAAATTTTGGCCCTGTAGTGTAGTGTAGAGGCACAAAATCCAGCTACAGGAGCTATCAGTGTAGCATAACTTTGCAAGCTACACTGACCTAAAGGTAAGATTCTTGTGAACTGCACTCAGCTACACTACACACAAAGTGCACAGTAGCATGTTGCAGCCTAGCTGTCCCAGTGCTGGTTTTAGGTATAAAGTTATTTTGTTGCATTGCACGCAATGGCCGGTTGCTCACATAACAACACAACAGCCCAACATCAAACTTGTGGCACATCATCATCTCACTCTGCTACTGCGGCTTCAAGTGCTTGACTGATGACTCAAAGTAGATCCCCTTTTTTTTCTCACAAGCCCTCTATTCCTCAAGTTGTACTTCAACAAAAACTTTCAGAAATATGTGATCTTGAAAGTAGTTGATGAGGTACATTTGATTTGTACTTGGGGACTTGTAGCTAGTGGGTTAGCATGGTATTTGGCCAGTTGGTTTGAAGTACAGGATCTTGAAGTCTTCCAACAATTGCATGAAAGTTTATGTGGTGATTCAATGGCAACCACACATGCACCAGTGCTTCTAATTTCTGCAACATGTAGACCTCAAGCTTTCAATGCAATACTTACAAACCTGTGATGGTGCCATCATCAAGATGTGACATAACTACAAGCTGATTGGGAACAATACAAAGTCTGTTTCTTCAAGTTCCAGTCAACAACGTGATATGTACACACTTCAAAATGCAAAAGACCCATATCAAATCTTCCCACCGGCTGGGGATGTTCCAGTCTCCCTAGAGCTTTGATCTACTCTTGCACCCAGAATCACATTGAAAACACTATGAAAGCAATTAATGTAGCTAGCAAACATACCCAAGACTTGAGGGACGGTAGGAGCTCATGTGCATGTAGATTTCACACCAATGCTGGACCTGATGACAAGTTGGAGTTTGTGATCGACTTTGTAGCTGGCTCATTTGCAGTCATATGCTGTATAATGGCTCTAGGATTGGGACAGAACTGGGGAATAGTGCAAAGAGTGATTGTCGTTGGTTGTACAGATCCTGCAACTCTCTGTCAGATGCTAGGGAGGAGTGAACACGATAGACAGCCTGGTCTGGGATTCATGTTGGTCTTATGGTGGGAAACAGCAAGTGTAGGACTTCAAGAGCGTCAAGAATATGTCTGATGAAGACTAGCAGTCAGTACCGGAATTGACAGATGGGGATGGGAAAGGTTGTCGGATAATGCAATAACCTGGCTTCAGCACCACATCCATTCACCTCAGACAAAATTCCGTCTTCACTCATCTGATAATAAAGATTGGTCTATGACGTCATGACGAGTTGAATGTATAGGATGCAATCTATTTCCCTATTTCTCAATTGATTTTATCAAAAATTATGAACTCGCAACCATATAGTGTTGATCTCTTTCGGATTCGACTTTTGGATCTTGCTTGTATGCTCAGTTACAGTATATCTGGCTCCTACACAGGAGCTGCAATGGTGCCCTGAACTTCAAGGATCCTATTCTGATGGCAAGGGCTTGAGTGTGCTGAGTCCTTATGAGAAGTGAGTTTAGAGCTGGTTGTAGAACAGTAGATCAGTCATTTTTTGCTCGATCGGTTTAGCCAAAAATAGCTTGAGTGGTGATGTACAGTAGGTTTAGATTCTAGACCAGATATACAAACAAAATCGTTGATAACGAAAGATCTTGAAGATAGCATCAGGTTAATTCGATCAGTTGTTCAATGCGATGAGGATATATATTGATAATAGGTCCTTGTCAAATAAGTTAATTGAATTCAAGGTTATTGATTGATGGTAGGTTTGATTTGAGATAAGATTGAATCTAATTCTCCACGTTTTTCATATCCTAATAGATCATCACAACCTCCAACATGTCTTTCATTAATCCAAATCTATAAACATATAAAAATCAGTTTGAAATCGAAATCGAAAATTGCAAAATGAAAATGACAAACTTGAGGTACAGTAATTTTAGATTTTCCTAATTTTTCAGCTAAACTGAGTTGGAATTCAGTACTAGAGAATTGATTAAAATCAGGATAATTAGATAAATCATCAAGTTCGATAACTTTAATTTGATCTTTTGATAGTTTTGATGATAAAAAGTTTTTGGCTCTTGTACAATATGGACAATATGATTTACTAAAGATTGTGACTGGATTTTGATTTATAAGCATCTGTGTTTGTAGATGAAAAAAAGGAGTTAGTGTTTTTGTTTGTTGAATGCTTTGGTTTGGTTTGATTTTAAAATAACTTTACATCTATTGATTGTTTAACCTTTGACATGTTTTCTGGATTGATTGTAGTTGAGGATCCAAGGCTTGATGAAATAGCAGATTTTAATAATCGACAAATGCTGGTCATGGTTTGAGTTTGAATTGAATATGTTCAATGCTGAGAAGGAAGGCTGTGTATGTTGTAATCGGATTCAGATTTCATGGGTTTTGTTTATAAGACTATCAATTCATTCAAAATATGCTAATAAACATTTCTATTGAGACTGTAATTTGGACTGATCCAATTTTAACTAAGTGTATTACATAAATTTAAACTACTTAAGCCATTTAACCTTGAAATCAATTCGGAATTTCTTTTTGATTTCGTGAATCGTCATCAGTGGCTTTGTTACCTTCATCCACCTTCTGATCATCTCAACAATCCAAGAACTTCCATTTTATATCATTGTTATTGTACTTTTAGAACTTTATCATTCAAACATCAAACTCAATGAGAATCGGTAACCCACTTCCAACTAGTTTACCTCAGGAATGCAGGTTCGTCTTCTCCTCTTTCCTTGCAACAAAATGCATTTCACCAATATCCTTTATTCTTACATTCTAGGAAAGCTGCTAAAATCTTCAAGGTAATCTTTCATCCTCATCAGCCTTTTTAAACTATTCCGAAGACTGACTTTAATCTTTGAATTTTATCAAACAGGGCTTTGTTGGTACTTCGAATGGTCTAGATGGTCTAATCCCTACTCAAGTTCTCAGATCCGCACATGGATTCGCTATTTTCACAGTCGTCAAAGCTGGCTTTCTTATGTCCGTCAGAGCAGGAACTGGTTTAGTTATCGCCAGATTATCAAGCGGTGAATGGTCTGCACCTTCGGCTATCGGAACAGGCGGAATGGGCTTCGGTGGTCAAGCTGGCGCCGAAGTTACTGAATTCATCTTAGTCTTAAATTCAAAAGCTGCTATTCGTCAATTTATGTCAGCCGGGTCAATCACTTTAGGTGGAAATATGTCAGTAGCCTTAGGTCCAATCGGTAGAAACGCTGAAGGTTCTGGTGCCCTCAATACGAAGGGTAAAGTTGCTGCAATGTACTCGTACTCTAAAACCAAAGGAGCCTTTGCGGGGATCAGTATCGAAGGCAGTGCAATATTTGAACGGCAAGATTGTAACGTAAAGGTATGTCATTTGCCCTTAATTTAAAACCAACCTTTGGCAGTCTCGTTGATCATATTTTATTTGTTTCCTCAGTCTTACGGTAGTAACGTCACTTCCACTGCATTACTCTCTGGACAAATCGATCAACCTGACTTTGCAATGGATCTTATTCAAACCCTCACTTCGAGAGCTGGGGGTATGACAGAATATGTCAACCGGAACCCAAGAAGTTCCTCTATTGATGATTTGGATCGTGACTTTTCACATGATCCTGAATCAAATGCAGGTTGGAGAGAATCGGGTCGTGATTCTGTCACTCGTAACTTTGAATCGCCTCCTCCATCTCGTGCAACATATGAATTTGGAGATTCGAACCCATTTGCTACATCTGGAAAACGCGAAGAGAAATCCAACATGCTCAAAAAGAGTTTCAAACCATCCATGTGGCGTACCAAGTCTGATAAGACTGGATCAGATACTCAATATACTGGTGAACCCCAACCATCTTGGGTTCAACTACCTCAATCGTATTCATCGTCTCAAATTCAGTTGCGTAAAGAAAACCCATTTCACGGCTCCATCTCGCCCAGTCCTCCAGAAACAACCATCAATGAACAACTTAAGCCAAATGATTCAAATTCGAGCTATGGTCTATTTGGTGATCTTGAACCGATGATGTTCGGGCGAATCAAACAGGAAATCACACCCATCTCGGAACGAAACGGATTTGATCATTCAACCGTTCCAGATCTTGATAGACTATCGTTTTCTTCTTCCGAATCATCCTCAGAAAGACATCAAGCCCATTCAACCAAAGCTTCACCTCCTTTCTCGAAAAAAAATAATAGTTCACCTACCACAGCGCCTACTCAATCTGGAAACGCATTGATGGACGATTTAATGTCATTTGACCAAATTAATTCATCTGGTTACTTTCACCCTAAGCCTATATCTAAACCTGTTCCTTCATCGACACCTGATATATTCGTGAACAATACTCAATTTGGACTGAGCGAGTCGAAGCCACCACGTGATATGCGTATAACTAAACCAGCTAATGAGGCTGACTTCCTAGTTGGAACGGTTATGCCATCTGTCAGAAGAACCAATACGGAGAGTGTGGGACCATTAGGAAAAGCCGTGGCTGTATATGATTTTAAACCTACCGAGGAAGGCGATCTTGGATTTCAAAAAGGTGATATGATCAAAATTGAATCAAAGATTGATGATGATTGGTGAGTCATTTGACAGTTTTGAAAGTTCATCGGTTTTGTTTATCGAGATTTACATGATTTTCGTGGTTCATAGGTGGACGGGATCTATCGGAATGAGAAAAGGAATATTCCCTAGAAATCGAGTTGAGCCTCTTGATCATTAAAGAGTCCTTTATCAATGGATTCCTAAGAGTAAAACTTGAATTTCTCAAAATGATTCTCAAATACAAAAGATCAACCAAACAAATAGAAGTCATCAAAGACCAAAACCATAACAAGAAAGCTTTCGTCCCATTAAAATCACAAGAAGGCTCAAAGTAGAATTCGATTACCCTTTCTCTTTATGTGTATATGAGCATTTTTTATTCTGTTTGAAACTTATTATAAAATTGTATACATTCATCAAATTTGATTTAGTTCTCATTTTTTTTCTGTTCACTTTCTTATTACTGTTATTCATATCCATGCATTATTTATTGTATCGATGTATTCCAAAACAACGTGATTGATCTAACTCCCCATACTGTTAACAAAAGTCAATTTCTTCATTCAATTTCTTATCCAATATCTCTCTTATTTTGATTTGTTTACTTTCTGATTGATTCAAATTTGATTGTTGGAAAATTGTATGAATGAAAAAAAACATGGTAGTATTCTTTCTAGAAAAGCATTTACAATTTCTTTTCATTGATTGAAAGATTTTTTAAGCGTATTGCAATCTTGTTTTTTATATGAAGCTAAAAGAATATTAAAAGTTATCATGTCATGAGTTTGATTTTATTTTTCATCATCCTTTTAAGAGATTAACAGTTCATCACAGGATCACATTCTAAACATTTAATAAAGATACCAGATTATAGGAATGTTGGAGTGAAGAAATCAGACAAGTGAAAGCGCACATGTCTTGAAATTCAGGAATCAGAAATTGATGAAGTAAACCATTTCCACAAGAGAGTGAACATTTGTGGCTTCAACAGGCTATGTATAGCCAAACTAACTAAGCCGCTCGCGCGGTTACATCCGCCTGGTAAAAGAGTTCTTTCTCTTGCTAATGTGAGAAGCAACAAGCTAATTTGTCTTTCCATTACCTTTTTCTCATGCTGTTCGTGCTTCTCAGACACTTGACCATCTTCCCTTTCTACGTGCATATCTTTAGGATTTCACTAAAATCAACCCCCTCTCTCCAGAGTCGAGCGTCTCCTTTTTAGTCGGGGGTGTACAAATAGATGTGAATTCAGACATAGGGGGTGGTGGACTCTTGAATTCAGGTGAAATGGAAACTGAATGGGATGCTACCGATACTATTTTGCTTCCAGTATCTGGCTATCTTGGTTCCACTCTTTGCATCAAAGAGATGATGTTTGATCTGCATGGATGATTCAGCTGAAATTGAAGACAGGTCATCCAAGTCCAAGCCTAAGTCAAAACATACCAAATCATCCTCTTGTAGCAATGTCACTATGCCTCAAAGAGTATCATTTCTAGTTTGGTGTGATAAGAATAGTCAGAATCAAACAAAAACAGCAAAGCACTTTGAATATAGGTTTCCTGGAATTTTTATCAAACAATCTCTAGTATTGAGTTGGGTCAATAAATAGGACAAAATGTGAGCCACCTGCAAGTTGGGTGTTGGACTGAACATCAAAAGGAAAAATCAAACTGAGCACCCACAAATAAGCAAGGCCCTGTAAACTTGGGTTCAACAAGTAGACATGGCTGGGGTTATACTTACTGGTGATGTTATCTGACGGAAGTGGCAACAATTTGTGGACTTATCCAGGGTTCCAGAATCCAAGTGGCTCCTACTAAGTGAAGGTTTGCTGAGCTCCTTCAAGACACAGAGCATTTTTAAGAATAGACAGAAGCATGGAGAAGCAGCTTCAGCTTCTCCAGAGGCTGACAGTCCCCAACAAAAACCAGTTCAAAAGATCACTTATCTTTATCACCCTTGCAACATCTACAACTCAAGAGAGAGTGGGATGTTTAATGGGTAAGGAAATCACTACCCAACAGTTTTGGTAACATTATGAGACCATGATTTTCAATTTCAAGGCTCTTTGCTGCCTATGTATGTATCACTGCATATTGTTGTAGGATGCCTCCTGAGAAAGGTCCTTCAAATGAAAGCAAATCCAGAACACAGTCCAACAAGATTTGTTTAACCTTCACCATGCCTGTTTCCATGTACCACATCCACGTGTACACACCAATCAGTCCATGTAGAGTATGGATATAACCTACAAATAAGTTTCAGAGCCAAGCAAAGAACAGCCTTTGTCCAGAGGCTCAGACAGTGAGAGCATTAAACATCCTTCTTTGTTCATCTTTCATTGTGGACAACGGGTGTGCCCTTACACAAGGACCGCCAGATACCCCCTCAACATCAAGGGGGTCTGAGTCTTGCAATTGCATCTAGACTGCATTACATCTATGTTCCATCTGAGCAGCTCAGATATATGTGGGTCTACCGCCTTAGCTCAATGATACTAATTAGCAGCTATGCATGTTCAGCCATCCCTCCCTGATGAGACCAAAATGAATAATCCTGACATTGACAATCCCAAAGCTTTGACAATTGGACTAGTCTGAGCAGGCTTCACAAATTGAAAGATTTCAATATCAGATTGATAATCCTGGGTTTTACTCAGCATAAAGTCATTTGTCAATTTCTGGAGATATAAAACCCCAAATTTGAACTTGAGAACTTAAATTTTGGAAAATAAATTCAAAGTTGAAGCAATGCCATCACCCAGTCCCAACTTCTCACCATCACTGATTGATGGAAAATATTATCTTGGTCCATCTCAACTTTGCATCAAACCCACTGAATCCATAAGGACCAAAGAAGAAGGTACATCTGTGAACTTTTAGGATTTCTCATCAAATGCATCC